TCTATCTATCTATCTATCTATCTATCTATCTATCTATCTATCTATCTATCCATCCATCCATCCATCCATCTTTCTCTCTTTCCTTCCCCCTCCCCCCTGAATGTAGGTATATGCACGGCACTGCACGCATGGAGGTCAGAGGACAACCTTGGGCATCCCTCCTCACTTCCCACTGCAGTTAGGACAGGGTCTGTTGTTTACTGCAGCCTGCACCAGGCTAGCTGGCTCTCCTGTCTCCACTGCGATCTCCCTGTGGATATACTGGTGTTACAGGATCTACCCAGCCCAGATGTAAGCGGGTTTAGGGATCAAACTCGGGTCTCGCACTTACATGGCAAGCACATTTTCCCACCCCCTCCATTTCCCTTTTGAGACCTAGTCTTGCTGTGGAGAACAAGCTCTCCTGAGGCTCCCAGTCTTCCTCCCGCAGCCTCCTGAGAGCTGGGATCATAGGCCTGTGCGCCCATCCCCAGCCCACACTGAGAGCTGGTGTAAAAATCCTAAAAGAACATCTGACTAAATTAGAAGTATTTTCCTTCATCTGTCCTTACTCAGCTGCTCCTTCCTTTTCTTTATATCATGTATTTTTATCATTATATTTCATAATTTTCAGTTATTCTGTCTGTTCCTATTTCTCTTTCTCTCTCTCTCTCTCTCTCTCTCTCTCTGTGTGTGTGTGTGTGTGTGTGTGTGTGTGTTAGACCTTGAACTCACCATGTAACTGAAGATGACTTTGACCTTCTGCTTCTTCTGCTTTCACCTCCTAAATGCCAGGGTTGCAGGCATGTCCCACCATGCCTGGATTACTATTTCTTTTATCTTTTTTCAGTGTTTTTGTAGTGCTGAGGATAGGACTCGGGGCCTGGGCACTAGCCAAGCACTCTACCACCAAGCTATATCCCAAGAACACTCCTCTCTGTTCTGGCAAAACCCCCTTTGTGCTTTAACTTCTGCCTGTGTGCGAATAATGTTGCTCATAAACTCAGATTCATTTAACTCCAAGGTGTGCGTTACTCTTAGCACAGAAAACACAGGGATAAGCTCTAAACACAGTCCTGATGTGAGTTAACTTTTCTGGTGTTTTCCGTAATACTGCTAGACTATTGCTACCAGAAGCCCCTCCAAAGAAATTCCTGACCCTGGGCTCCAAGTTCCGTTACAGCGGCAGAACGCAGGCGCAAACGAGAAGAGCCAGCGCTCTGATAGACCGCCCAGCACCCTACTTCGAACGCTCCTCCAGCAAACGATACACCATGTCTCGCAGCTTGGATGGAGGTAGGCATGCTAGGTGGTTCTCAGTGACTCCAGGTAGCTGCACAGCAGGGTGTGTGAACGCTCCACCCGAATCCCGGGAGCTTTGGTTAAACAGACGAATGACATGATGTGGACCTGAGCAGCGGAGTGGCACGATTTGAACATTCTCATCTCTGAAATATCTCTGTGTCGGTCTGTTTAATTGTGAGCTCGCGTAGGAGGGCATCAGTTAGGAACCTGGGGAACGAGGATCTTCACTTTAGCAGGCTGAACCTCAGGAAGGATCTCTTCATTCTCAATGCGGGGCTCGCATTCTAGGGTTCAGTTCTCTTGCGGGCAACTGTTCAGGGATGAACAGGAAGAAACAAGGAAGTTCAGTTCATCTCTATCTCTAAAAAAATTAGGGAGAATAAGAAGCGTGATAGCTGGGAGGAAGCGTCGCTATAGCGAGTGGCCCTGTCTGCTCTCTAGTCAAATGAAGAAGCCAAAGATGCTTTTGTGAGCTGGCCACCACATTAATTACAGTCAGCCTTCATATTTGAAGGTTCTGACTCTGCAGTCAACCAAGTGTAGATTGAAACTGTGGGCTGAAAATCTGAAAGACTCCAGGGCGGGTGGGGGTTTAACTTACCAAACAGGCCCAAGACCTTAGTTTAGTACCATCCCCAGCACCAGAGGACATGATAGACAGACATACAGACAGCTGAAGACAGCCAACAGGTAACTACAACTTCCAGTATTTCTACATTAAAACATTACATCTGGACTGCAGAGATGGCTCGGTGGTTAAGAACACTGGCTGTTCTTCCACAGGTCCTGAGTTCAATACCCAACAAACCACATGTTGGCTCATAGCCATCTATAATGAAACTCAGTGCCCTCTTCTGATGTGCAGGTGTACATGCAGGCAGCACATGGTATACATAAAAAATAAATAAACCTTTTTTAAAAAAGCTTCACATCCATACCGAATAAACAAAGACTGATTTCCTTTATTATTCACTAAACAGTACAATGTGATAACTATTTACATGTTATTTACATTGTGTTAGGTATTAAAGAGCAGTAGAGATGATTTAAACACCAGAGACAAATGTGCACAGGTTGTATATTAAAAGCGTGTCACTCTTCGTAAGGCTAAGTGTTCAGAGACTTCCTGGCAACTATCCACAGGATAGCCAAGAGAGGATGCTGCCTTCTGCATCTTTCAATGTTTCTAGACCCAATACCATTTGCAGTTCATTTAAGACAGGAAAAATCCCAAGGTTAATGCCACAATTTCTTTATGCTCTTTAGAAACACATTGCTAACAATGTTGTATGTTCTCTAAGTCAGTATTTGAGGAACGTCTGTAGACTCATGCCTTTCTTTCCCCCTGAAGGCCACGTGCTTTGTTCAGGGATGTGCACCCAAGGGAATACAGTTGTTGACAGCGTAGTTTTCCTCTTGGTCTTTGTGTGAAAATGACTGTTGACAAAACAGAAGACAACTGTGAGACCAATGTACTAATAACATGCTGTCTCTTCCTTTCCGCCCAAAAGTGATGTTAGTATGTGTTGTCTCGCTCTGTGTTGCCCTGCCAATGCTAGTGTGTTTTCTGTGTGGAGCCGAGTGCCATGCCTGCATGCTGGAACATTAAAAGCTGCCTTTTGTCAGGCCAGTCCCCCATATATAACAGCTCAACTGGCTGCTAAGAAAGCGTGTCTCATGAGAGCCCTTCATCAGCATAAAGAGGCACAGAATATCTTAGTGAAGGATTTCGCTTAGAATCCTTTGGTTTTGCTCTACTTGGTGTTTTAAAGTACCAAAAATATGAATTAAAAACTTTTTTTTTTGTCTGTGATCAACTGTGGAGTATCTGAAAAAGCAGTGCTTATACATTTCAATGTGTTTTTATGATATCTAAGCCCTAAAAAGAATGACTAGCAAAATTTAAAATTGATCTGGATTAAGCACCGAACTGAGTGAAGAATCTTTTACTAAGACAACAGCTGGGGTGAGGAGCAGAACCTCCCATCCCTGTGCTCACATGCTTTGCCTCTGCATGGGTTTAGCTGGGATGAGGGGCAGCACCTCCCATCCCTGTGCTCATGGGTCGGGCTGGATAAGGGTCAGAACCTCACAGGCTTTGCTTACATGCTTTGCTTCTGCATGGCTTTGCTTGCTAGCAGTGTTCGTCTTGTTTTCCACAAATAGTAGAGATAAGACTGAATGTATGTAGATATCCTTCATGGCAGTCTATTTAAAATGCAATGGAAATTTACAAATTTCCTTACATCAATTGAGAGGAATGACCTTCTAAATCCTATAATCTCTGCCCAAATGATTAAACTTTACTATGACTGTGCTTTGAGCTCTTCTATTGTGAGAGCGATGGACTTTTCAACATTGAAAAGTAATAGAAATAGCCCATTGCTCCTTTGATGGATGGGACTTCCGCAGATATGCTCAAAGTCGGGTGATTAGAGTATTGGCTGTAAATACTGCTGTGAATTGTTGAACTTGGTATGAATACCCAGCTTTTGCTCTTGGGTTTGTAAAAGCAGCTTCCTTTCCAAGTCCTTCCCACGGCACCAGAGACTACGAGAATGCTAAGCATCCGTTATCCTAGGGTGCAAGGCATGGGCATTTAAATTGTTCTGAAACACTGGTCCAGGTGATGCAGAAAGATACAGTGCTTGGATAAAGGCCCCTGCAGCTGTCCCTTGCCTTACTCAAACCAGCCTGATATTTTATACCGGTGTTTTGTTTTGGTTTGGTTTGGTTTGGTTTTCCTAGTACTGGTACCACATGTCATTACTGTTCTGTCTTCTGACTTAACTATTTGGGATTTTATTTCCCTGATTGTATTTGCTTTTAGCCTCAGTGAATGAAAACCATGAAATATACATGAAGGATTCTATGTCTGCTGCAGAGGTTGGCACAGGCCAGTACGCCACAACAAAGGGCATCTCTCAGACCAACTTGATCACCACTGTGACTCCAGAGAAAAAGGCTGAAGAGGAGCATGTGGAGGAAGAGGACAGAAGGAAGAAGGTCGAGGATGCCACACCCGTCACAGCCCTCCGGCACGAGGGAAAGGTACAGCTCCTGGCTGCCTCCTAGAGCTGTCCCAGCTCTTACAGCTCAGCCATTTCTGAAGTGGTAGGCTAGGAGTCTGTGAAGGTGAAGGAGCATTCAGGCTCCAGCGCTGGCCAGGTTCATGTCAGGTTTTATATTATTATTATTTTAGCATTTTCTCTAAAACTTGTTTTTACCTTTTGGAAATTTTTGACAGGGAGTGTGGTTTACAAGACTTTCAACAGCTGTTCTGTATGGATCTCGTCAAAAATAGTTTGGAGAGTACAGTGTGTTTTTTCTTGTTTGGGCTCATATTTTGTAGGTGTCACTTCAAGCTATTGACTGTTTCTGGCCCCACTTTCCTACCCAAGTATGGTATATTTTACCATAACCTGTGTATTTGATCTCTTAGTCTCTTAACTATAATCTCATCTGCAAAGGAGTAACCATGCTTTGAAAGGGATATACAAGCCCATGTCTCAATGAAAGGGAAAAGTGAATTTGACATAATAGTAATTTTTTTCATTGCATTTTTTATGACATCACTTCCCCCAAATTAAATTTTAAATACTAAAGTTTCAGATTGATTTCTAATGATCCAGTATTTTAGCAAATTGCTAGGGAAAAAAAAAAAAGTGGTTTAAAACTTAACATATTTGGGAGGCTCGTGCACAGTAAAAACGGAAACAAGAGCCTCCTGGAATGTACAGGGCCCACAGATATAGGGCACAGGAAATGAACCATCTTACAGTCTCCGGGTTATCCTGAAATGCGAGTGCACTTGATTCCCTGGTGATTTTTTTTGCATACAAATGTTTTTTTAAAAACCAGTTGTGTGGGACCCCCCAGGGCTTCTTTCCATAAAAGTTCCACAGCCTTCTAAGTAGTACTTCAGATAAATGATTTCTGCCTCTGAGGAAGTGGCCTAGTGGTGAGGGGCTGGCCTAGCCTGCATGCACCCTTAGCTTAATGTCCGACACCTCAGTAACCTACATTGAATAAATAAACACTTTGCAGCGTAGATAAAAGTATTTCAGGTCACCCCAGGGATCGTTCCACTTTTCCTGCTAGGAGCTAATTCTTTGTTTTCCAAACAGAAAATCAGCACAGAGTTAGAAATTACAGCGGGGCCTTTTGTTCACTTCTGCTGTCCAAATGTGCTTTGTTCTAAATTTGGAGTTTACATCCTTCTCATCACTTAAGCCAAGGTCAGCTCTTGTAAGTGGGAGTCGGTGGGCAGAGGAGATAACCACCTGGCACACAAACATGGGCGGTTCTTACGCCTGCCAACGCCTGCAAATGATTCTCATGGCTGAGAAAATGCACTTAAATCTAGAGCAACATGAAAGAGCCTTACACTTGCTTTTAAGTAGACCCAGGTTCCCTCCCTTCATTTTGTTTCTTAAATACCACCCTGCATTCACCTTCCTTGTTGTCCTGGGGAAATGAAGGACCTGGGAAACCAGTACCTTCATAACCCCACCCCCAGGAAGATGGCCTTTCAGCAGTGCCTTCTGGATGGCCGTAGCTGAGATCCAGTACTGGCGGGGTACCACCTGTCTTTATTTCCCCCGATGCAATGCTGTCTTTCCAAAAAGGCTTTTAATACATGGCACAGAAGAATAAACCATAATTTTATTCTTTTCTGTCATCTTCAAAAAAGCTACATAGAGAATCCTTGTTTTTGAAGCAAAATGAAAATTCACTGCTGGAAACAAAGTTCAAAACACTGTCTCCCAGGCTTCCCGGGGAGGGGTGTGCTGTTTAGCTGATGGCCCCACAAGTCCAAGGCAGTGTCTCACTGCCTAGGGAGAGCTGACATCATGAAGAGGCCACATGGAACATCTGCATTATTCGTAGCTGAATGAGCTCTGTGCAAACGCCTTTATAGGGTGCAATGTTTAATGTCAAGTATGAGTGTCAGGGAAACATTTCAAAGGCTGACAGATCCCGATAAACCTTTTTCTGGGCATTGCCTCACTCCCTCATGTCTCAGATGTGATTGTATTTGTGCATTTTCTTCCCCTTTGTTGCTATATTTATCACTTTTCTCTAAGTCAGGATTTGATAACCATCACCAAGCAGGCTGAGTAATTGTCGAGCTCTCAAGCTGCTAAGTAACACACTCAGATACACACACGCATACACACACACACACACACACACACACACACACACACACACACACACACCGGGAAGTAAGCAGCTGAAGAAAGCTATCTCAAGCTCCATATGCCCTGGCCTTGAATTTATCATGCTATAACAGCTCCTGTACTTTGCTCCAGCCTGTTTAGAGGGACTCCTTGCTTCTGGCTCTGGCCGTTGAGACTGCGGGGGGGGGGGGGGGAGAATGAGCAGCAGCAGGAGCTCATGGGGAGCCCTTTCATGGGAATGCATGCTTTATTGCTGTATGCAGGATTCAAACTTTAGCTGTAAACATACTTTATCTGATATAGAAACAAAAGGCTAAGCAACTGCAACTTTCCATTGTCTGTAGACCATATGTAGCAGAAACCAGACACATAGAAACCATGTTACAGGAAGCCTGTTCCTTTTGCTGGTTTCCTTCCTGGTAAGAGCTGAAGTCCTGCCTAGGAGCATAGATAAAGAAGTCAAAAATGGATGGATCACAGGAGCCTCAGTTCTCTGTGGGGAGCGAGAGATCCTGCTCACTCCTGGCACTCCCATCCCCATTTATAACTGTTCTCAGAAAGGAGTGGGGCCAGAAACTTCATATTGGGAAACCCGGCTGTTTGGGGTATGATTGGCTAACCAAGGAAACAAAGATGATTAGAAATTGTTTGAACACAGTCAAACTCAGAATCAAATCTTATTTTCATTTTGAGTCCAGCTGAGCTATGGTGCTGGCCTGTTACCTGGAGATCAAGGAGACGTTATTGAAAGTCTTGGTTTTCATTTATTAGAGCTGCTCGCTCTTCAGACATGTTTATGCAGGGTTCTTCCCAGCGACTTCTGTCCCGACCCTTGACAGCATCTCTGCCTGTGTATGATGGACTGGGAGAGTCATAGTCGCCAAGCAGCCTGGCTGCTTTAAAGCTCTTGTTTTACAGTTTTGTGTCGATGCCCATGAGAAGGTTAACTAACTGCACTTTTCTTTTTGTCCTTTTGCATCCATGTTTACCGCTTCCTGTCTCTCCCTGTCTCTTTCACATCAGTCACCTGGGCATGGCTCTGACTCATGTCCCTCGTCACCCCCATCAGCCCATCTTGACCCCACATCTCCCACAGAGCTCCGCAGGAGGTGTAAGGAGAAGGAAGGCACCTCTACCGGTTCCGTGCTGCCTATGGCTGAGCTAGCCCTGGAGTCCGATGGCCAGGAAAAGGCTTACGTAGGGGACCAAGACGTAGCATTTAGTTACAGGCAGCAGACTGGCAAAGGAGCCACGCTGTTTTCCTTCTCCTTGCAGCTCCCCGGGTCATTCCCCTCACTCCTAGATGAGGATGGGTACCTCTCTTTCCCCAACCTGTCTGAAACCAACCTTCTGCCCCAGAGCTGGCAGCACTTCCTGCCCATCCGCTCGCCCTCCCTCCTGCCCTGCTTCCTCTTCATCTTCTTCTTCCTGCTCTCCGCCTCCTTCTCAGTGCCATACGCCCTCACTCTCTCCTTCCCTCTGGCTCTCTGCCTCTGCTACCTGGAGCCCAAGGCGGCCTCCTTGAGCGCCTCCCTAGACAATGACCCGAGTGACAGTTCAGAAGAAGAGGTGTGTACCTCAGCATAGAACACACTTTCCCTGCGTGTTCGTGCTTCAGTCCAAACCAGTGTTAGCTGGCTGCTGCGATAGTGGTCCTACTTTCAGAGCCTCATTTATTGTCTGTGCCACTATGTGGAGGGTTTTTGTGTTGGGGAGTCCAAGCCAGGCCCCAGGGTTAGGCACAACGCCATGTGGGTGTAAGCAGTTGGTAGCCTGCTGTGATGGCTCCACTACCCACTGAGTTCTGCATGAGTGAAGGACTCAGCCAGAACGCAAGTTCAGATAACTCATTCACTATGGAAAGGTCATGTCTCAGTGACAGACTCTGCTCGGTCATCGTCTTAGTTAAATCTCACGTAGTACAAATTAGTAGCTTCCATCATAAATAAAATGCAAAGACGGATGGAAGTGAGCAAGGGATTGTGCTAGAGGTTAAAAACCATTGTGTTCAAAAGCTTCCATGGCTCTGGAATGAGATACAAGTTCTCACTGTTGAGTTAGGAGGAACACCTACAGCAGTTTATAGCTCCCGCATGACATCACTCATTGGAAAAGCCCAAAGGAGCACCAGAAAGAACCACAGGAACCATATATGTAGGACTGTGGTGTCCAGAAAGTCAGGACGAGGTTCATTTGAGGTTTCTTTGTGGATCAGACAGCAGCATACGACCCAAAGTGCACAATTTACTGTGGAACAGCCAGGGAGTCGGCTTGATGTGTCTGGCCCTTGGCCAAGTATTCTCATAAAGGGAGAACAACCTAAACTCTGAGCCTGGCCATCTCCTTTTCTTCATCCCAGCCACTGGGTGAGTCAGTGTAACTATTGGCTTTCCCTCTTAATTGCTCTATTTCTAGTGGCTCCACAGCCCTGTGAGCAGCACAGCAGCTTCCCTTATAAAGGACTTTAGAGCACTTGGAAAAGACTAGAATGAACGGTGGGGGGGATTAGAAGCCGTCCCCCTAGAGGCACTGGCTGTCTCTTCTTCACCCTCCAGACCACTCCTGCAGAGCCCTGAGCTTGCCTGTTCCCTCAAGGCGACAGGAGACAAGCCAAGCACTCCTTGCATAAGAAGAAAATCACAAAGTCAAGGCAATACTCAAAGAGAGAGAGAGAGAGAGAGAGAGAGAAAGTATTCAGTTCCATACTTAGTAATAATTTGACCTGCATTTGTTAGTATATGCAGCTCCTAAAATGTACCTACATTTAGTGGCAGAATGACTGTTTCAGAGCAGCAAACGGTGAAAATATGAATGCTCTCACAGGTGTTTTAAAGAAGAGCCTAGGCTTTTCAATTCATTACTGCTTAAGAGCCCTTTTCCAGGTTCTGGGTGTGTGTGCACAAATAGATAATAATGTTTCTACTGCAACAGACTTTGGGCACACTTTCAACCTCAGGCTTTTAATATAACTCTCACATTAGCAACATCATCGAATAGTACAGGACTAGAACATGCTGCAGCCGGGAATGGAATATTATCTACAAGGACCATTGGCGGGTTTCTAATGTGGAAATTTATTCTCTCTTTTAGCAGAGGAATAAGTCCTCCTGCTCACGTTCTTTTCTAAATTCTGAGTTACTGTTTGAACTTTTCTAGTGCTAACCACACAGATCTTGTGCCTAATCCAGGGTTTACATCTTGTCAGAGTGGGTGCATGAGAACTGAACTTGGGCATGTCTGCATTACATCAGCAAAGCAAATCACAGCAGCCCCTGTTTGAAGCTAGTGCATGTGGAATGGGAGCTTCCCAGGCCCCTGTCCTCAGTATTGTAAACTCCCAAACTGAGTCAGTGCTGACCAGTACAACCAGCCCCTTTGCTCCAGCCTCCCGGAGCCCCTGATAGCTCCCACAACCAGGCTTTGGATTTGGCCTTCTGTTCAGCGTTGACTCTTAACCCCAGCTGTTGAGAGCGACACACTCTAGTCATCTGAAGATGAAGAACTCATATTTGGGTCATCACATTTCTTAAAATACCACTTGCTTACACAGCTTATTTTATTCTGTAGGCCTCAAGAGCTCTGTCAGCCAAACTGGAAGAGTTCTTAAAATGCAATTCATCTCTGCCCCTTTCGTTTTGCAAAATCACTAATGACAGTGGTCCTTTTTACATTTTTCTTGTGTTGTAGAGAGTTAATAAGTTACTGCCTCTCTTAAAAGCAAAATCCAGCATGCAAACACTTAATAATTTCAAATAACAAGGCAGTATTTTTCTTATGCTTTCAGAATGGTCATAAGAGGCAGAATATCAAATCACCTTCCACAAAACAGTAAGATGAATTTAGTTTACCATAACAAAGGGTGTGATTATATATGAATTTCTCAGTAATTTTTTATAGTACAAAGAGAAGAGATTTATTCAAATATGTAAGAAAAATTAATTCACCAACTGATTTATAACTTTAAATTATGTAAAGATAGTATTGTACAATCATTCATGACATTCTGCAGTTTCCTGTGTAGTCACAGGCACATAGTAAATGTTAGTAATAATATACAATAAATAACAGCTGCTATCAAAACATCTTTATTCAGTTAATATTATTTTTGTTGATAGATTGGACTGTAAAATAGGTATTGCGAAGAGTCTGCAGATGAGTTCTATTTTATTTTTAATATAGGATCTGATCACATCGAACTTTGGCCCTTATGCCTAATTACAGTGATATGCCCAGTATACAGGTTCTGAGGGAGGTTAGCGAGGACCAACAACATTTGAAACCTAGGAAAATCAGAGAAATAACTAACTATATATATTTCAGTTGTTATTGATGACTTCTAATTCTCTGTGGCAGGCCTTCCACAAAACATTTGACATCCTTTATGCAATATAGTTACAACTCTTATTATCTCCGCTTCCCAAGGAGGAAAAAAAAAAAATGGGTTAAACTATGAAATGTGGCCAATGTATCCCAGGTTTGAAAAGCAAGGATTTGAGCATAAGCTAACATCAGGCTCCTCACTCTTACCTACATCTGAGCTCTAATGCTGAGGTATTGGAAAGTTCATGAAGTAAATTCTAAAGTAGTAAGGAAAGCTCTTAGAGTAGGAAGAGAATTTCCTCAGTGGCATGACGTGCTTGACACAGCTAGTTAATATTCCAAGCACAAGCAATTCCTAGAGCATCGTGAAGTTATTCTGTCTTTTGTACTAATCCAAACCCTCCTTGCCCCCGCTGTCGGGTATGGAGGCCCAGGGATTGCTACAGTCATGTCTGATTCCTAAGGGAGAATTAGCAGATCCCCCCCCCCCCGACACACACACTTTTTAAAATGACGTGATCAGATCATGAAAAAAATCTATTCATTTTGTTTGTTTTTTCCTTCTCAGGCATACCTGCCAAATAGGCAGATCAATTCCTTTATCTTAGGAATATGTAAAACCGAAGTGTGAGATAATGCTGGGAAGCCCTCCTGGCCAGAGACTAGAGCAAGATAGACAAAGCAGGGGCAGGAGAGATGGCTCAGTGGTTAAGAGCACTGGCTGCTCTTCCGGAGGACCCGGGTTCAACTCCCAGCACCTACACGGCCACTCACAGCAGCCTGTAACTCCAGTTCTTGGCGACCAACACCCTGACACAGACATACATGCAGGCAAAACACCAATGCACATAAAATAATAATAAATTTTAGAGAGAACCGGAGCAGCCCCGGCTACCGCATCTAACGTCCCCTGTATGTTGGGGTTGTACTGCAGCTCTACAGCCTGTAGTTTGTGGGCTTGCTTTGAGAGTATCAGCCACTGAGGCTTTGACGGAGGGAAATTTACCAGCCATCGGTTGAAACTCGTGGATAAAAAGCCAGTTTGCATCTGATGGCTCACCTTCTCAACGGAAAATAGCTGTTGTTTTAAACCATAAGCCTCTTTAAACACATAAAACACTTAAGCATTAAGAGTGAGCCCCGAAACAGCTCCTCGCCCCCCCCCAGAATCCTAGGTTCTGCTGAATGCTGTGCTTTGTTTGATTTGTCTCTAAACGGATGTCTCTTTCTCTCTCTATTTTTTCAATTATTATTACTATCATTTGCATCAGTTGAATGGTACTTTTGCGATGAGATGTTTAAATGCATATTTGGCTATATTTCTTTATATTGGAGAAGTGGGGGCAAAGTGAACAACAGAGCTGTTACCCATTAGCAATGCTATCTGACAACTAAGTTATGTTTTCTCTATGTGAAATATATGCCTGTGAATCACCGGGGTATGGTCTAGTCATGAACCGGTAATGCAGACAGCCTGGTGGTCATAGTGGGTGGAAATGATCCAATGGTATAAATGAGGGGCTGAAAGTCCAGTGGCTATTATAGTAGCTGTTAGCATAAATCTAAATTTATTCAATTTTCTAATGTGGCATTACTAGAGTAAACTATGTATCAACGAACCTCCATTTGATCTGTATTAGGCATTTTTAGGAGAGCTTCTAGGGGCGTCAGTAGAAAGGGGGTGGGGGTGGGGTAGCGACCTGATACTCGGAACTGTAAAGGCAGACAGTTCAGGGTGGCCCACTCGTGTGTGTGCCTCGGGTCTTGACCTCGGAGGGGCTCTGCTGAAGACCCCAAGCTCTGCCTCTTCTTTGCTTTGCTCATACCCATACTCCCGTGGGAAGGTAGGATTCCACAGCAACCAAAGAAAATGAATGGTCCCAACAGTGTGTGCTCTGTTTGACCAGAAGGGTTTGTTTTCTGTCCCTGCTTCCTCCTTGGATCTGATTACTTCTGTGATCCGCAGACTGACAGCGAACGGACAGACACTGCGGCTGACGGAGAAACCAGTGCCACTGAGGTAAGGATGAAGCCGGAGCACCGGCGTTTCCTGGGTCCCAAGCTTTGTGGGACACAGACGGAGCTTTAGCACCACCCCCCAGGAAATGCTGACTCAACAGAAACCGAATAAGCTTTGTTTTGCTTTTAGGTTTTGGTTTGTTTGTTTTTGCCTAAGCCAGTGGTTATCAAACTCTGACTTTTATGAGAGCTATGTGAATGGTCCCTGCCTGGCGTTTCTGGTTCCGAGGGGCTGAGACAAGAACAGGATTTGTAGTTCTAACCGGTTCCCAAATGTCTGGACCCTTGGTCGTGGGATTACGTTTTGAGAAACAGTTTCCTAATTGACATCACAGTGAAGACAAAAGAAGACCAGGGAGGTGGAAGAGGAGGAGGACAGTGATTCTCCGGCTGTTTGTATATGCTAGCCTTGATAAGTAAGGAAGAAGGTTCATGAGAATTGAATTATCTTATTGGCTGGAAACAAATATATTTTTAAATCCCCGATGGCCAACTAATTTTTATTAAAGTAATACTTAACACATTTTTGAGCCCTTGGCTATAACACAAGTCACTCTCAGGAAATGGATTTCTTAAAGAAACTACTACTAATACTTGTATAAAATGCAATCAGACAGCATCCTATTATTTCTCCTGAATTAAGTCTTTAATATATATTAAATGTGTATGTGACTTGTCATCCTTAGGATCTGCCCTATTAGTAGCAATTAAAATACTATAAACATGGGCCTGGAGAAATGGCTCAGCAGTGGAGGAAGGGTGGGATTGGGAAGGGGCCGAGAAAGGGGGCCACAGCTGGGATACAAAGTGAATAAACTGTAATTAATAAAAAAAAATAAGTAAATTTTTTTAAAAAGACAGAGGAGGGTAAAGAGTGAATATGAAGATGGATTGGGAGTAGAGTATAGATTTGACAGGAGTGGAGCCCGGGGAAAGATCTAATCAAAAGATATAATCAAAATACATTATATGAAATTTTCAAAGAATTAATAAAAATTATTTTACAAAAAAAAAAAAAAGTGCATCCACATCCCCACAGCCGGCGGCTCCTGGGGAATCTGTGCTCATATGTGCATAGGCTCCCAGACATAGACATGTGGATAAAATATTTAAATACAGCCAAAACAGCATATAGTCATGGAAACCAAGATGCCTGTTGCTCACAGGCCTAGAAGAATTTAAGTTTTACTTTGTGACAAAGTTTAACTTAGGTCATGTGTGGTTTTTTTTTTTCTTTTTTTTTTTTTTTTTTTATGTAATTCAGTAATATCCATACTTTCTAGTTGAGTTTTTGGGAAGAATTAAAAATGCTGCAAGTGATCTCTATGTATCCTTTAACTGAAAATATCTTCTGGAAAATATTATTTTTCTGGTGGTATTTCCTTTGGAAGTGTCACAGCTTGTAAATCATGATGTTTTTAGAAGAAAAGATAGTAGCATAGCACACCGTTTTCCAGATTCTCTTCAGCTGTCATAACTAAGCGTACAGGTTAATCATTTTCTTTGCCAAATAAAATTATACTCTGAACTGTCAGAGCTAGTTGTAAATAGCCACAGGCTGCCTAAGTGCAGTGAATGGCATGCAGTTGTCGGTAGCCACAGGCTAGTACATTCAGAATATAGTACACAAACCCAGTCTATCCGAGAAATCAGCTACAGTTCAACAGTAATGCCCTAAGCCTCTATAGCAGTTTTGCTCCGTTAGAGCAGTTATGTTACAAAGCATTAAAGCCAGCGAGAGCTTTAATGGGCACTGTAAATCTGGTACACTGTGAAACCTAACAATGAAATAAAGAGCTGGAATCCAACACGTATTTAAGGATCAGCGTGTCACCCGTTCTGGGTTGGTGTGCTATTGCCCGTGTGCACGCGTTCCCTTCCCTTCACGTCGGCAGGACATTACAGGGATGTGCAAAGAAAGCTCCTTGGTCCCCATTGGCTGGTAAGAAATCAGACATGGCTGTACATACCTTGTAGTCCCAACACATGGAAAGCTGAGACAAGATACGTGGCCCTCCTGGACTCTGTCTCAACAAGACCAAACCAAAACAAACAGAAAATGCAGACCTCTAGCCAGGGAGAATGCTTCGCTTAGGGGCTACGATCAAGCGTGACCTAGTGTCACCTGTAGTTTGACTCAGAGTGTTACAGGATCAGAAGACCAGGCTCAGGTCAGATAGCTGTGGTGAGAAACAGCCTTGTGTGCTGGTCCATGGCCTATGTGCCCAGATACTGGTAGTTAGATGTCCGGCCAAGAATGTATAAGCTGGGCCCTTAAAACTGGAAAAGGAGGAATAATGAGCTGGCTGTAGGAAATTTCTTTTTAATGAAAAAAAAAAAAAATTACCCTGTCTTCATTTTAAAGAATGGTATAATAGCTGTTGATGCCGATTGGTTTTGTCTGTACTTCCTTCCTTTTCATTGGTACCAATCTTTTCCCCTCTAAGAGGGATCGTTTCAGTATAAAGGTTCAGCTGGGTGTGGCAGATCATGCCTGTAAGCACAGAGCTTCCTAGGCTGAGTTGGCACCCTTCTCTCAAGAACAAAGCAGGGACTGGAGAGATGGCTCAGTGGCTAGGCACACTGGCTGCTCTTCCACAGGACTCGGTTTTTATTCCCGTCCCCCTCTCGGCAGCTCAGGGCCGTATGTAACTGCAGTTCCAGAGGACCTCAGGCCCTCCTCTAGCCTCTCCAGACACCAGGCATGCAAGAGGTGCACAGACATGCACGCAGGCAAAACACTCATATACAAAAATTAAAAAATAATAATAATTAAGAAACACAGTCCATAAGTACAGGTAAGACAAGATTCCACACGATCTTAAGATGCAGGACATTGTGCATTGAGCTCTTTGAGCTGCAGTCCTGTGGTCTACAAACTAGAAGTTACAAGAGCTGACGTATAATCATTGGGAGGTCTTCTTGCCTGTGGAGGGGCTGTCATCATCCCGGTAATGACAGCCATTCTTGGGAGCTGTGAACTGACTCCCCAACTTCCAGACACCAAAGCCTTTGCTGACGTTCAGTAAGGACACCCTGCCAAGCGCTCCCCACCCTTTTTGAAAGCACAGGCATGTGCCTGTCAGGCTACCAAGCAAGGGCTCCACTGCTGCTTTGTTCTGACGAGGCTTCATCCTGTGTGTGTGAAAGTTACGAGTTGTGTCTAAGAAAGCACTGCATGTGAGTGCTAGGGAGCTGTGGTGTTCACAACCAGTGAGTGTGTATAGGCCGCTTCTTCAACCTTAGAGTAAATTGCTTGGTAAGTCTGTATCTCCCGCTCTTTCTTTACGCTGGCAGTCGGACCAGGAGGAAGACGCAGAGCTCAAGGCGCAGGTAGAAAATTAAACATACAACAAAGACCCCAGACCAGTGTGAAATGACTCATTGTTTGTCTGCGTGTCTGCATGTTCCCTCCCGGCTACCATGCCGACAGCGTGTTGAGTGGCCTTTGTTCCCTTGATGACTGTGTCCCTTACCTTTCCCTCTCTTCTCCACTTTTTTCAGAATAGTCTGATTAAGCGAATAAAGGGTGAAAATGTGTATGTCAAACATAGTAATCTTATGTTAGAGGTTGGTATTGGTGTATGCCAGTGCATGCTTGCGTGGTTTTCCTCCTGTGGCACACCTGTGAACTTGAACCATGCTGCATGCATGTCCCGTGTGCTCTGCTGTTAGTGACTGGGGGTGATTCCTCGGCGTACTGATTCCTTATTCTCTCCTAGACTTAGATCCCTTTTCCTGCGTGCGTAGTTTTCATCCTCTCTGGTTCCGTGTACACTACTATCCTTAGAACTTACCTTTAACTTTTTTTTTTTGTATGCTCGTGTGAAACTAAATTGTTTTTCTTCCTCTTTTCCTGGAAATAATGCATTTACACCAGAGTGTTTGTGGTAGTGTCTTGATCCCTGATCCAAATTCAGTTTTCTTTTGACTACTAATGTGTTTTGCAAACTTTAAAAAGAGAGAGGGAGGTACGGAAAATCACTGTGAAAGTTTGACTGTTGGAATCTTCTTGCTCTGACTACAGGAGCTAGATAAAACTCAAGATGAACTGATGAAGCACCAAACCAACATTAGCGAGCTGAAAAGAACCTTCCTGGAAACGTCTACAGAAACCGCCTTAACCAACGAGTGGGAAAAGAGGCTTTCCACGTCCCCCGTGCGCCTGGCTGCCAGGCAGGAGGATGCCCCCATGATTGAGCCGCTGGTACCTGAGGAGGTCAGTATTTGAGCTACGGGCTGCTTGTCTTCTGCCCTGGTTTCGCTTCGCACAGGAACAGGGTTGCTGAGACCAGGAACGAGGCTCTCAGTGCACTCAAGAAAGCAGCCAGGGAAGCGAAGAGTGAGCCTGTCAGCTCCGACTATGCTAAGGGCCAAGCAAGTGCAGGGAGGCTCCAGTGCTCCTCACCCGATTCTTACCTTTACTGTCGGTTTATACCCGGGAGAGGTTGATGATCTCTTAGTGAATCAACAGTTCTGTAAACAAACTTTCCTCTCCCATGTTGAGAAATGCCCTTCAAACCTCATCTGTTCTTCTCGTTAGCTGGAAAATGAAGCAGCTTGATGACACTGTTTACTGTTTAAATGGGAGGTTGGAAGTTGATAGCATTTCAACACAGACAGTACCCTGGCATATAATGCTGGGCTTCTATTGAATTTAATGTCTTTTATTTTAATAATAACTGGTTATTTTAACTAATTCTAAATAAGTATTTATGCTTTTTTTTTTAATGGGAAAATCAGATAATAGAAGTAGGACTGTTTCAGTAAGACTTTTCCATGTAAGAAAACTGACGTTAAATGACGGATTTGGGTCTCAGCTGTATCACCACTCCATGGCTCCCACTCTGTGGGTATAGTAGCCATCTGGTCATCCATTAGAGAGCGTCCTGCTATCTCTCTCTTTCAAAATAAATCATTTGTGGAAATTGCATCTTTAGAGCACTGTATTGATTAGCCGCCTTATCAAGATCCTTTTATTGGGAGATATTTCCCCAAGAGGCTGTGACAGAATAGAAACTTAAAACTCCCAACTGTGAGAGGATGCCTTTAAACAGCCATGCATATGCACTGCTGAAGACCTTGCAGGGAAAATAAGAATGAAATTACATCTGTTTATCAAAAGTGCTAGTATCTCATTGTCACTATATTCATGCCAAACCCAGTCCCAGCCAAAAAGGGAAGAGTTGGATGCCCGTCTGAGTTGCTTTGAAAAAGTTCTTTTTAGGCGGAATAAATAAAAGTATTGCTACCAAAGTCTTCCGTTGAACACTAGTTCCATTCAAATTGCTCAAGCATCAAGAGACAGAATTTCACAATCAGTTTGATTTAATCATTACAGTCCTTGCACGTTATTAAGAATAGTGTTTGCGGATTAAGGGAATAGCTCCGTGAATAAAGCACTTTCTGAGGCATCATGAGGACAAGAGTGATTGCCCAAAAGGCACCCTAAAATGGGATACCGTAGTGTGCCTCTGTAGTCCGAACATCCCTGCTGTGAAAAGAGGCAGAGACAAGGGAGCACCCAGAAGCTCCAGAGCCACCTGGGCGCTGGAGCAGCAACCAATAAGAAACCCTGCCTCAAACATGGTAGAGACAAGAACTGAAACCCAAGGCTATCCTCTGACCACATATATCCTGTGACACACGTGTGCCCTCATTCACACTTATGTACATGTGTGTGCGTGCACACACGCACACTTTAAAATACTACTTACCTGTTATATTGTCATAAGTTATATTGTAATTTTCAAATCTGGATTATTCTATTCCTTTTAAGTCCTTTGGAGACAATATTCTGGCTCTAAAGATGTTAGATACTGGCTTAAGTTATAAACACATAAAACAAATAGCCACCAAAGCAAAACAAAGAAAAAATGCCATCTTTCATGCTGATGCTGAAGGGAATGGTCAGTGATGGCTGTTCTGAATAACAGTTTGTGAGAGATGGTAATAAACATGTAGACCATAAAAGTCAAAGCTGAATCTTAGACAATGGTGTTGAGTTAGTAATTGAAGGACTTGGTGCATTGACTGCCCTGCCTTCTCTGTGTCTGTGCAAACAACGGAGACAGCCAAGAAAGGCCCTTTTCAACATAACTGAATAGAAACATCCCTTTGCAGCTAAAGGGCGTTGCTGCTTGGGTCCACAGACTGGAGGAGTCCAGAGCTGGCATGGGTGGCTGCTGTCATGTCTCTGCTAGATTGTGCTGGAATCCCACCCTATCACTATGGTACACAGAGGAATTCTCAGGAGGGTTTTGTCTGTCTGGGCTTGAGAATGATGCTTGTTGGGTAATAACGAGCTCTAGCAAAGCAGTGGCAAGGTGATTCGGGTCCTGGAAGTTGAGAGCTGTCTTCTCATAGCCATAGATGCTTCAGGCCCTGGAAGCTGAGAGCTGTTTCCATATGGTCCACGCCCTGTGCCTCCCTAGACAGTTGGCCAAGGCAGAGTGACCTCTACATTCCCAAGTGTTATTCAGGACCAGACAGTTGTCAGTGACATCTAAGTTTATAGTCCAGCTGTGAGCCCTATAGATAGCCATAAGAGAAAAAAAAAATTCCTGTTGTCTAAATCAACGGCAGTTTTTATATTTACACCTTGTCTTTTCTTTCTAGCTTTACGAAAAGCAGATGATCTGTTTAGCCTGCAGCGAGGCATGAACAAAGCATATTGATTTTCAGCCTCAAAAGCAATCAATTTTATTTTGGATAGGGGACATTTTTTTTTCAAAGAATATCGATTACTTGGTATCACATTGTTATTTGATATGGCTACTTTAATTATCCACTGTAAAAAAAAAGCCCAGTTGTGACTACATAGAAATATTTAACTTATTTTCTTAAATTTGCATCACAAATAAAGCAATATTATTTTGTGTCAGAACAAGGAAGGGACTTAGATTCAAATTTTTGACCCCAAGTTAGTTGATTTCTGTTTTGTTTTGTTGTTTGATGAATTTTAATGAGAAAATGGTATTTTGAAAAAAAAAATCTAATAACCTTAGGTTTTTAATGTTATCAGCTTTTTATCTATAGTGGTTGAATACTAATTGTTATTTCTGTAAAATGCTTCCATTCATGAACAATTAGAAAAATATTAAAAGTTTATGGTGAACTAATAATGATTCTATTCAGAGACTTTCATGTGTTCACTATTCATACAGTCTGCCTTTGATTGCCAGTGATTTCACACTTCAAATGTTTGCACGAAGGATTAGCAGAGAAACAGCAGAGGTGTCCCCAAAGTAGTGGATAAAATCAAGTCCTTGTTAACACTGGCAAACAGATCAGTTCCTGTAAGAGACATGTGATCTGTGACAGAGAGCAAACAGTTCCCAAAATGGCCTTTCACATTACACATAGGCCTCACACATTTTACACTTGTGTTCCTCAGTGGTTAGTTGTATAGCAAAGTTTTCCAAATCCCTGTTTTTTTTTTTTTTTAAAAAAAGCAATATTCATACCTGTGCAGTACCAATATTGTCCTCTTTTGCATGTGTGTAGTAAGCTCTCGGATGTACGTGCTATATAATATAGTCAGCCTAACACGTACGCTGCACCTAATATAATAAAGCTTTGAGGCAGACGCTGGTTAGTTGATGCCCATTTCGTAAAGCTTTTATGTTTTCAAATTCATGTACTTCCAACATTTATTGGTAGAAAACCTTCATAGTCTAGAGAAGGTGAGTGCTGTGAACTTTGTGTCCCTGAATAGGACTTTGCAAGTTCGTTGCAGAGTGACGTTTAAGAAAGAAGTAAAATGGCTGGCCTTTGCACTTGTCTGTACGCTTAGCCATGATGAAGGCATGTGTGTGGAGGCTTCAATCTACCAGCAGCTCATGTCATTAGTAGAGGCGCTGGTTGGGTTGGAAGGTGGACCATGAATAGACTCGTTGTGTACCTGTCCCCTGTGTTAGGTATCTCTGCTATTGACACACGGTTCTGATCGTGGCCTGTTGATGTTTCCAGTGCCGGGAGGCTTCCTGAAAACCACTGTTTAGGTGCCTGACTCTTTCCCCGGCTTTTATCTTTGGAATAACATTTATCTCAGTAATTATAATAAGAGGTTTAAACATGTTATTCTGGAGGAGCACCTATAATTTTGAACTTCTCCTGTTTCTCACTTCTGTTTGAAAAAAGAGTCTGCAACTGGAAATGTTTATAATCTTCATTTAATAATTGCTCATAGTATATTTTATCTTTTGCAATGTCCTCCTCCGGAATTGCAGCAGGATAGGAATTATTTTCCTCCCCTGAAAATGGATGGGTTCCTTACCTCTCATTAGAAAAATCCATCAGAGGAGAGTATTGTCACAGTTTATAGTGGGTCCCAGAGTGTTCCAGAGGTTCCCCTGAAACTCCTCATAGGCAAGCAATTCGATGTTGTCCTTGCTAAGTGGCTGGTAGACAAACAGTCTACCATCACAAAGGGACTGGTTAGGCTGGGAGGTAGGCCATGTGTAGACTTTAATTCTAAACCCAGCCCACCATGTTAGCTGTTTCTGTTATTGACACATGGTTCTGAATGTGGGCTAAACTCTTAAGAGTCTTCATAAAAGTACTGTTTATGATGATATAATTTATTGGAAGAGTTCCATTCTTCTAAAAGTTTTGAACTTTGCCTGATTGTTTTTAGACTAATTTTTAAAGATATTCTTTCTATCCCTACTGTATGGAGTTGTGCACTATGCAAAGACAGCCCTGGTAGCAATGGGATTGCCATTTGAATTAGGTATATTTAATGCTAAAAGACATAACAAAAGGATAGTTTGAAACTCAAGAACTGGTTTCTACGTAAAAAGAATGAAATTATTGTTATTGATTCTATACATTAAAGAGAACAATGATTTGATCTAAAGTTTCCACTCAGATAATTTGAACTTAACTTTAAAATTTTATTTACCATATTATAGAAGTTCAAATAAAGTTTGACTCTTGCTTGCTCAGAAGCCAGCAAAGACATCTATCCAAAAGTGACTGGGTTTATTCAAGTAAATGGTATTCCAGTTTGCTTTTTGTGGTGGTGATAAAAAACATTCTGACCAAAAGTAACTTGGGGTTGGAAAGGGCTTATTTGTCTTATATTTCCAGTTCACAGTCCATCACTGATGGGAGTTAGGGTATGAAGCAAGCCAGAAGCAGTTCCATGGAGGAAGCTGCCTGCTGCCTCACTTGCAGGCTCAAGCTTAGCTAGGTTTCCTTTGGACCCGGAACTGTCTGCCTAGGGAATGACACCACCTACACAGTGAACAGTCAAAACAGTCCCCACAGTCATGCCTGCAGGCCATTCTGCGCTAGGGAAATCGCCCACCAAGCTTTTCCTTCTCAAAAGACTCCAGCTTTCTCAAGTGGACAGTCAAAGCCAACCCGTACAAATGGCTAATGCATCAGTTGTATGTGTGCCCTTCCTTCCCTACCAAGCAGCATGTGAGTGAGAATATGGTTGGATACTTGTCGGAAATAGAAGAGACCGTTTCTTCCTAACTACTCTTAAAAATAGTTTCATCACATTTTCTTTTAGAACTATTCAGGCCATGAGAGATACGCGTAGAAATGCTAAGAAACTCCTCCTATCACTCTTGTGTGCACTGTGCGGAAATGTAAAATGTCTGAGCTGTGTGAGCATCCGTTTCAAGAAAATAACGTTGCCCTTTGAAATGATTATTAAAACTTGAAGTGGTTCTAGATCGTTTTTCAAATTAATAACCCTTCAAGGAAAACATGAATGATATGAATACATTTGTGATAAAGTACCGCTTCCTAACTCATCTTTCTGGGAAATGTCTGCTTCCTCTTCTCCAACCCAACCCCCTTTATTCAAACAGACCAAAGAAGAGAGAGCGATTTCTGAGAAAGTTATATTTTTACAGCAAGGAAGCTCGCCATTCCTTGAGTCTCAGGTAAAAAGCAAACGTAGATATTTCCGTAAAGAGTCACTCTTCAGGCTTCAATGTAACCAGAGGGTCAAGTTTTTTAACTTCTTTCGGTTTTCTTGTTTGAAGCTAAGCTGTGTATGTTAATTTCCTTATATGTTGGGAAAGGGGATTCCCTCTGTGTTAGTGAGCAAATTACATATTGCCTGAGACTTCTATATGATAAAAACTACCATTGAAGCCTCAGTTCTGCTTGTGGTCATCTGACCTTCCCCACTGCAGGTTTTCTTCTCTAGACTGCTACTGTTGTAAATGACCTTGGCCAATTCTGAACGCCCTGAACTTATATTGGTTTTCTTACTAGCCAAGAGTGATTGAGGAAACGCGGGAAGGAGTCTCTGCTGATTCTGTGTCCACTTCTCATCAAATAATTTTCCAGAAAAGTGTTCCATCGACCCTAGAGGTTATTTTTTTTTCCAATTTACTTATTTTAGTCCAAAGCCAGCATGTAGATTAAACATTACTTATTTCTGCTTAACACAAACATATATCTGGATTCAAGTTTCCAGCCTACAATAAGTACAAAAGAGAGCATGCTAGTTTAAGTCGCAAAACCAAATGTTCAGCTGTGCTAGTCTGGTCTCTCTTCCTTCTGTAACCTGGAGGGCTGGTTAGCTCTTAGCCCCTCTCATCCTGTTGACGCTCCTGTAGGCCAAGCTTTCTTACCTTTCCTCTGCTTTGTTGGAACTAATGCTAAAGAAAGTGGAAGAGAAATTACTGAGGCATCAAACCACAGTTATAGTTAAAAGTGGAACCTACAAGCCACTAAATCTTATTTATAAAAGGATACAGTCAGTAGCAGCACATCAGGGGAAATTTCCGTTACAATGCCTTGAATAAAGGTGCACTCAGTGGGCATTGCTGCCAAGTAGAGTCGTGAACTGACTTCCCTAGGTAAGGAAACAAGTTTGCGTATGTGGAAAGCAGTCTTTACAGAAACTTGGAAAAGCCCTGCAACTTCCTTGTGAGCATAGCAGTATGAGCAGCAGTGTATAACTTCAGCAATCGAGGAAAAGTGTCCTCTGCACCTACACTTGGAACACGAAGTGCCTCAGTTACCCCATCCAGTCTTAAGAGCAAACCAACCAGATGCTGACCGTAAGGTCAGATAGGTTTCTTTCAACTTTATTGCCAAAATATGTTCATATCTGAAGAAACTTGAAATTGTAATGGCCGCCCCACAGAACTTCAACTCTGGGTTGAAATTAGTCTATTTTAGGTGAGTGTAGCGTGCAGCCATATTCTTAGATCTTAGCAGCCATCCTTTGCTTCAGTTCTACCCCGTCCCCAAGTGTAGTTTATGCCCTGGGTTTTTTGTTGTTGTTGTTGTTGTTGTTGGAAAAAAAAAAAAAAAAAGAAAGAAACTTATGTTAGAAACAAGATACCATTGGCTTTTCTAATTTAGCTTTTATATTTCGAATATAGGGCACAGAGGATTGGGTTATTGTAGACAAAATACCCACTGAGGTAGCTGATGGTGATTTCAAAAAGATTGTGACTTACAAGGTGGTAACGGTGAGCAGTAAAACCGGGGAGATCCCAGCCGACTTGCTAAGTTCCGGCATGATCGACGTGCATGGCTTCGATGACCTGACCAGAGAAACGCAGCTCACGGAAGAAAACAAGCAGAAGATATACACACTAGGAAAATCCTATGACACGGTCTCTGGAAGAATTGTTACCATGACTGGGAAGGCTAAAGAGGGGGAGAAAGGAGCACAGCCCTCCACGCTGGGAGCCCTGTGGAAGATGGAGGGAGGCGCTTCAGAGGCCACGAAGGTTGGTCCCCTGCTGGTGGAATATGAGGTCCTGGAAACCCTGGCTGATGAGAAATCCAGAAGAGGACCCGAGGTCCACACCCCAAAGCGGAGAGTGTCGGAATCCCTGGCACCCATCAAGGAAGCTGAATCTCGTAGGCAAAGCCCTGAGAACGGTGACGCGCAGAAGGCTCCAATGCTTGGAGAGGATGCACCTGCCCAGGCCTGGTTCAGCAAAACCCAGCAGGTGCCGGAGAGTGAGGTCCTGAAGGTGGGGCCCTTTGGGCCGCGCAGGAAGAGCCTGTCTGAGTGGCGGTACTCCCAGGAACCAGCCTTTACTGTCGCTACTGCTCACTATGTCACCGAGTCGTCCGCTTCCCAAGTGGTGGTAACCAGTGGCTCCCATTCGGCCGCGGCTTAAGATTCAGCATGACAGTTTCTGAACCGGCGCCCTTCCACCCTGAAGCTTTTCCGTTTCTCTGGCTGCTTGGCTTTATGTTGAGAGCAGCAAACCCGGCTTTTTATTTCCATGATTGAGTCAGTATTGCAGCCCAAAGTCAGCATTAAAACACTTTTCCGTTTTATTTCCAGCTGCCCGTTCCCAAGATGCGATAACGCTGCTGTGGCTTGCAATGACAGGGGGGATATTGACCCGCTTGAACCAGTGCCACCCTGATCCTATTAACTCTCAGCTTTAGCACACGAGGCCTCGCAACCGCCTTGCTGCGTTTACGCCCCATTCTTTTCTGTCCGTGGACTCCTTCACTCCTCCTCCCTTCGTCCTTCGCCTCCAGTTTTGTCTAACAAGCTGTGAATGTGCGTGGCTGAGGTGTCTCTCTCGCGCTTGACTCTCGTTTCTTTGTTCACCCAGACTAAGCAGTCTTCCGGGGACAAGCTCACAGATGGCTCGGAGATCCTCAGTCTGTTAGAGTCTGCGCGAAAGCCCACAGAGTTCATAGGAGGGGTTTCGTCTACCACCCAGAGCTGGGTGCAGGTGGCCTTTTGCTCCCATCTTCGGTGTTTCTGAATGTGTCCGTTTGCTTTGCTTTGCTTTGCTTTGCTTTGCTTTGCTTTGCTTTGTGAGTGTGTGCGTTTTGCACCCAAGTGGCCTTGCCTTTCTGCATGAGTGACTGTCCCTGGTGCTGGTCTGTGAGTCTGTCCTGTGCCTTCCACTCCACTTCAAAGGTGTGCTTCCCATTCGCAAAAGCAATCACGGCAGGAAATTTTAATAGTGTTTAGTCTCTAGACACATTTTGTCTCATCCGCTGGGTCTACAAAGCTTCCTCTCCGTCTGTCTCCCTCTCTCTCTTTTTTTTTCCACTTGCATATTTTATTGTGTTCTGTCCTTTGCTAGTGCCCCCAGGAAGCTGTGTAGTTCCCAGTGTGAGCGCATCGAACAGGCACACCTCAAAGCAGGCAGGAGGAAGGAAAGCTCATTTTTATTTCCTTCAGTGTTTGTGCCTTTGAGTTCCTGGTGCTGGCTGTGGCTGCCCTAGCCAGCGGCAGCTTTGGGGGTTTGGTTTGCTCTGTTCTGTCTCTCTCAAGAAAGACCATTCAGACACTCTGCTCTTCCCATACAGAAACTGGAGACGAAGACAGAGTCCATTGAGACAGAGGGGGACTCGGTCCCACACCCCCAGCCCCTCAGTGCCGAGAAGGTGCTTCAGGAAACCTTGTCCGTGTCGGTGGAGGAGAGGCACGTGATGAGCGTGCACGCCAGCGGGGATGCTTCGCACACAGCCGGGGATGAAGTGGCCGCCTCGGCAGAGTCCACAGCAGCGGATCCTCACGGTATGAAAGGGAAGGAGGTGACAGAAGCAGCTAAGGAAGAGAGAGGAGAGGAGGCGGAGAAGCCTGTCCCCGAGCAGGAGCAGCCAGCCACTGTCTCCCAGGAGGAGGAGCAGGTGTCTGCTGTGCACCCTTCCGAGGCTTTGGAACAGAAAGCTCATTTTGAGGTAAACGGTAGTTACTCTCACTCCCACGTAGTACCCTGAGATGTAGATCTGAGGGCCACCAAGATGGCTCGGTGGCCAACACTGCTTGCCACGCAAGCCTGATGACCTGAGTTCAATCCCTGGAACCCACAGTGGGAGGAGAGAACCAGGTTGGGAGACTTATCCTCCCCCCAAACACAAATAATAATAATAATAATTAATATTAATATTAATATTAATATTAATATATTATTATATATTATATTAATTATATTATAGAACTATATAATTATATAATATATTAATTATATTACTATAATATATTATATAATATATTATTATTATTATTATTATTATTATTTAACTCTATCAGTGTTTGCATATGAGATCGAGGTGGAGGGACGGATCTAATTTCCTCTAAAATGTCCCTGTTGTCTTGAGCATTCCATGTTAACAACGCTGTGTAACTTGGAGAGGTTGACATGGGTTTGTTGTATGCTGTGACCCCAAACTTACCTCCTCATTTAAGAACTAAAGTACCAAGGATCCCAAGAAGAGAGGAAAGCTCAAACCAGGCGCGCCCCTCCATAACCTCTTCCCTTACTTCCCACCGATACAGTCCTCCACTGTGAAGATGGAAAGCGTGAGCGTGGGCAGTGTTTCTCCAGGAGGAGTAAAACTAGAAACCTCTACCAAGGAAGTGCCAGTAGTTCACACAGAAACAAAAACCATCACCTATGAGTCGTCACAGGTAAGACGGCCTTTGAGGACCAGAGGCCTGGCAGCTTCATGGTTTCGTGCATTCAAGTGTAACTATACAGTATCAACCCTAGAGGCTTAGAGAGTCCCCCATCCAAACCATCTCTCTCAAAAATAGTGCAATACTGTAGTTAGTTTTACTGTTGATTACAGAGCAACTAGTGACTTAACCAAGGCTTCAGGTAATTCTGACATAGAAAAGTCTCAGAGACCTGGGTGTGCAGCTATGTAAGAAAGAAGACTCACTCAGCCATCCGCTGCTCGAATTTCTTAAGTCTCAGTTGCCCGTGGCTTCGCCTGGAGTTTACTCCTAGCAGCTCTCGAGTTCTATCTGAACTGGGCAATGATTGTAGGAAGCAGTTCTTCCTTCCAAAGAGATGGGTTCCAGGTTTCCCGTGGATATACAAATCTGTGGCTGCTCTAACCCCTTGGCTAGAATAGCATAACATTTCCTTATCATTTATCCACATCATACACTCCGCTGTGTGTATGTAACAGATACCTGCACACAGTCAACCTGGTTGCAAACAGATTCTGCGTATTTTCAACCTGTGGTTGATTGAGTCGTCAGATAGGGAGGGCTGGGTTTGCTCAATCGCGGTAGTGCATTGAAGAGTGGAGCCAGCCGAGGAAGAGGAGTGTAACCACGCCAGCGTGCTGCCTGTGTTCCTGTCCCTGCTTAGGTCGATCCTGGGGCCGATCTGGAGCCAGGCCTGCTAATGAGCGCACAGACGATCACATCTGAAACCACCAGTACCACGACCACCACACACATCACCAAAGTAAGTGGGGCAAACCCGCACAAGCGTTCTTGAGGGTGGGAGGGAGGCATTGATCATCAGAACCTCTGCCACATTGGGCTGCACAAGGAAATCTTCACGTGCCTATCACACGCCAAGATGGCTATATTAAAAGCAAGCTTTAAAACATCTGTATCTCCCACGCACTTGTCACCCGCTGCTTGGGTTTGTGGAGCCTTGGGTGCTCACTCAGTGGCGGGCTTAGAGCAGATCGTAGAAATCGGGCCTACCAAACCCAGAGAACTCAGCCGTATCCTCACTCCTGAAAGCGGGCGTGTGGAGGGTCTGGGAGAGCAGTGTTCTAGCTCTGGGAGAATGAATGACGGTGGTGCTTCCTACCGCCACCACGCTCCTCCGTCGCCCCAGTGAGCGGCTCACCGAGCTCTTCTGTTTCCTGTAGACTGTGAAAGGAGGCATTTCAGAGACGAGGATCGAGAAGCGAATAGTCATCACGGGAGATGCTGACATTGACCACGACCAGGTAGCCTGTGTGAGATGGCGAACAGTGTAATAGAGAAGTAAACGGGAACACACTGGCCACTGGGCTCCCAGTGCTAACCTTGCAGTTCAGCACACGTTCTCCCCTAAGTTTCTGAGTTAACTGTGCAGTACGTGGTTTTGAATCCTCATTGTTTGATTGCGGGTATAGATTTAAGTTCATAAGTCTACACCTTGCTGCGGCTCACGCATGTCCCACCTCCTTTTTGTTCTCGCCCTTCTGTGATTTCCTGGGGATAGGCGCTGGCTCAGGCAATTAAAGAGGCCAAAGAGCAGCACCCCGACATGTCAGTGACCAAAGTAGTGGTCCATAAAGAGACAGAAATCACACCAGAAGATGGAGAGGATTGACCAGAGGTAAGAGGTGGCACGGACTCTCCAAGCTTGCCTCAGCTAGCATGTGGCATGGGGCACCTCCCTCCCACCCTTTCGCCCCGTTCCCTCGCCTCCTTTGTCCTCTCACTGGCACTGGTGGGGCTGGCGAGCGAGAAGATGGAGACCCGTTCTATGGGTACTGGGTTGCCTCTGCTGTCGAGATTCCATCTTCAGAGCTGTCTCTGCACCCACGCCCGTTAGAGGAGAAGGGAAAGCGGGGTCCTTTGCTTGCACGGCCGCACTGCTGCCCTCTTCACCCGGACTTTGCATCCTTCTAATTACCCAAATTTGAAATAATCAAATTTGATTTCACTTGCCACGTGGCCTAACAAAAAGAAAAAGAAAAAAGAAAGCGGGTTCTTCTGCCAGGCTGAATTTGTGTTTCAACTTGTAGCTGTAATTAGCCGTCCTCCCTCATGCTTCTGATGGCGGCATCATTCCTTGGACGTGCACTCAGTCTTCCAGGACCAGTGTCTGTGCCCCAGATGGTTTTCTTTAGTCCGATACTGAGCACTAACTCTCTCTTTGAATGTCTTATACTTCCTGTACCCTGTGAGTTACTCTCCCCCTTCGCCTACTGTTTTGTCCCAAGGGGAGGCAAAAAAAATCCCCGCAGATTTGTGGTCCTGTTTTCCTCCCGAAGATGCATGCCTTGCCGATCTGTGTGGCCAGCATCATGAGCAGACTCTGCCCTCTCTGTGTGCACAGCCTTGTCTTTTTTCCTGGCCTGCCATGCAACAATTCAGGGGCCACGAGCCTCCTTGGGTGGGCTGTGAAGGCCGACTGCAGTCGCAGCTACTGACACATGTTCTTCCAGAATAAGACATTGAAAAGAGTTTGTCTCTTTCTAAAATAAGGAGAACATGCTAAACTCACTCAGATTCAAATTGATAAGATTCCTGGAAACAAAAGTGAATGAGAGAAAAGATTTTTTTTTTCTCTAGTGGGCTTGGGTGATGCAGTTTTAGGCCGCAGCGTGACAGCATCCGTCACTATGAGCGCTCTAACTCCTAAGCTACATCTTGTGACTCCCCGGATATTTTTCAAATGAGAAACTAATTAAATCTTTCTTCCCACAGGAATAACTTAGCTTGCACATGAACCCAGTCATATAAACTGTTAGGAAAACCGGAGCCGATGCCGAGTTCGTTCTTCTAACCCAACTGACTTATATCTGTCTGTGGAAAATTCCAATCCAGAAGAGCCGACCTTTACCATTAAAGACACTGGCAGAGAGATCTTCCCATAATAAAGAAATCCGAATCAGCATCACTAAACTGATACTGCATGAAGCGATGATAAAAACCACAAAAGAGCCGCACTTTTAATTTCACCAAAATACCTGTTTTCAATTCTACCTGCACGTTCATAACCAACAGTGTATACCGTGATCTCATGTAACACATCCACAGCTCATGCCTTCCATAGTTTATTATTAAAGTCTCAACAGAATCCCAGTTTCATAGGTGACAAATTCTCTGTTTACAAATAAATGTCAGTTGCCCTAAAATGCTACCCGCCGTCTAGGTCCGGTGTGTCAGATCTACCCCAGATTAGATGTGCCAATAACCAACGTTATTTAGTAAACAACTTGAATCTTATCCTCGTCTAATCTGGTTTTATTATTTTCACCCCTAAGCAGTTAATGTCTCTCTGACCCTTAGAAATATTTAATGCTTACAGTCTTGCTTTGTGTCTCTGATTGTAAGGTAGCATTGATTTTAGCACACTGATGTAAGTTCTTCCTGGTCGCTTGCACTGGTCAGTGTTCAGTCCAAAAAGATTCCCAGAATTACCTAAGGAAACCCTCAATATGTAAATTATCATTGTTGGGGAAGAAAAATCTGTATTTTTGTTAGTTTACAATATTATGAAAATTCACTCCAGGGAGACCTGCCGGGCTACTTTTGCTTTGTGTTTTTGTTGGGGTTTTTTTGTTTTGTTTTGTTTTGTTTTGTTTTTTGTTTTTCTCTTTACTTGTATTTTTTTTCATTGATTTTTTTTTCTTCTTTTACTTGAACAAAAAGGTGTTTTATTTACAAATCTGGTTCATATTTACAATCTAGTTCAGAGCTAAGCCTTAAATTGTACAGAATTTCCACTGTAATTAAAATATTTAGTGTTTAGTTATAAATAGCCTCCAGAAAGATATATTCTCCATTACACTGTCAACTGCATCACACCCCGCCGGGAATGATATTACTGCATCGCAAAATAAAAATGGCAAATGCATTGAAAGCTCTAATTTTCCATGTGGAGTGATTGCAGTTTTGTGTGGTTTAGCACCCAGAGTTCACATTCGCATTACATCAAAGGCCAAATCTAGCTGATATATATTCTTTTCAGTCAGGGTTAGAGATTCACACACTCAGTCTATGGTATACAGACCTTGGATGGTTGGGGATGATAGCAGAGTACATTTATATAAATACTCAGTTACCTACAATGGCTTCAAAGGGGCATTATAAGACTCTCATTTTCAGTTTTATGGGAAAAAGGGCTTAGTGTTTTTGAGTTACTTTTGGTCTAGCCAAGAACCACTGCTCTTTCAGATAGCAGCTCCACAGTTGAATCAATCAGACAGTGGATGTTTCAAAGTTCTGCATGACCTCATCCAGCTGCTAGGTCATATCACATTCCTCACGTGATGGGGATGACAGCTAAGATCCAAAGTAATGCCTGACTTTAAAAATCAGAGCTGGGCATTTGCAGCTCCATGGGTAAATGGCCTGTCATACAGAACAAGTGTGAGCAATGAATTGTCAGCCCCTTGACCTACATTAAAAACAAACAAACAAAAAACAGGGACTCTACTCTTGCAGAAGACCCAGGTTTGGCTCCCAGCACCCACATGGAAGCTCACAACCAGCTGTCACTATACTTACAGGGGACCCAAAACCCCACTCTGGCCTCTGCAAGCACCAGGCATGTGCATAGTGTGCAGACATACATGCAGGCAAACACTAATACACATAAAAATAAAGCCATTTTAAAATCCAGTGTGGTAGTTAGTGTATGCTTAAGGCCACCCAGTCCTTGGGAGGTGGAGACAGGGGCATTGCTGCAGTTGACTGCCAGCCAGCCTCTCCTAATTAGCGAACTCCATACCAGTGAGAGACCCTGTCTCAAAAATCAAGGGGGATGTCTCCTGAGGAACATCTGAGGCTAGCTTGTAACCATCCCACTCACATTCTCTGGGACACAGACACTCAGACACACCCATAAGGACACATGTGACACCAAAACAACAACAAAATAGCAAGTTGAGTTCCTTTCATTTGTCACCAAAAGTGTGTGAGCTCCTGAAGCTTCGGCTCCATCATTTAAATTGTGTTTTGTGGACACTCACGAGTGTGCTCCCGGGCTGGAGAGATGGTTCCGCAATACAGAGCACTTGTTGCTTTTGTAGAGGATACGTGTTGTGTTTGGTTGCCAGTACCAAGCTGGTAGCTCACAACCATCTGTAACCCCAGTTTCAAGGCAGCCAGTGCCCTTGTCTGATCACCACGGGTGCCAGGCACATGCGTGATGCACAGACATACATGCAGGCAAAACATTCACATACATAAACCTAAAGAGAACTTTCTAAGGTGTATTTAAAAAGTTAATACTTTAGTTAATACATGAAAGTGGGTTATACGGTGTAACCCACACTGTGTCCCGAGATTGCTGCTCCCGCCTGCCTAGTTGGAGTTCAAGTCCACCTAGGCTAGGTGTTCTTAAATGCCTTCCTGTTTTCACCTTAGCAATTGCATGCGTCATCAAGAGAGTCCTGTATTTTCAGCATTGTTTTCATTCTCCACAGTGCTCCTTACACTCCTCCCAGCTCTCACCCGCATTCATCAGGTTCCAAAGTCTTTCCTATGTTTTTATGTATTTGTGATAGAAATTCTTCCTTTTTAGCAGTAAAGCCTGGGTTGTTTATTATTATATTATTATTTCAATTACTACAAAGTTAGAAGCTAGAGATAGAATACGTCTTTGCCCTGTTTCTGCGGGTGAGGAGTTAAGTGTGTGTGGTTTTGTTGGTTTCTCTGCTTGAATGTCACTGTATTTGGAGTGTCTGCTGGGCCTCAGAGTCTTCTCTAGAGGCTGCACCGTGGAGTTCTGTACTTCCAAACTCTCTTGAGAAGGTCATACCTACAAGTCTCCCATCTCACCCTTGGTTGTTTTCATGATGTGGGGCTCTTCTTTGTTTCTTCAAAACTACGAACCAGGAAGAAATTCTAGCCTTCAGTGTTGCTAGGATAAGGCAGGCTGATAGCACTCCCTTACATGGCATAGCTCAACCCAGGGTGTGGCTTCCCCCCATAATGCCAGCTTCTAATTAGAGACAAGACACAGCACCTCACACATCTGCAAATTTTACTTTTTGATTCAGCGACTCATTAGCCACTACCAAGCATTCACTGATCCAATATCTTCGAAGCTCAGTTTCACTAACATATAAGACTGGCTTACTCGTGTGCTGGAAGACATGGTGATCTTGAAGGACTTAGTGTCACCACAATATCATGAAAATGACCTCAGATACACTTTTAGAAACTAAAACAATTCCACTTCCAGATGCTGCTTAGCTCACTGAAAAGTGTGCTTCTCAGTTTGCTCTCAGATTCAAGTCCAGGGTGACAAGAAGGCCAGAGAGTACAATTCTTTTGAATGAGCAGAGAAAAGGTTGCAAAGATGAAAACTGTGACGTGGGTAGCCGGGTAACCCCTGGTTTCACAGCGACAATGGTCTACAGAAACTGGAGCTGTTGTCTCAACAGCTCTTTAAAGCTGTTATCTATTTTCTCTAGACACAGAGTGAATTGCAAGACCCAGTAAAAACCCCTTCAGGTAAAATACTGCTTCCATGATGGCTCAGGGGCAAAGAGCACTAGTTGCTCTTCCAAAGAATCTGGATTCAGCTCCCAGCACCAACATGGCAGCTCACAGTGGTCTGTGACTCCAGTTCCAGAGACTCCTACACCCTCTTCTGTCCCCAGTGGGCACTGCACACACAAGGTACACTTACTCCGGCAAAATACCAATTCACATAAAATAAAAATAAATCTTAAAAAAGATTGCTTTCAATCCATGAGTCATCCTGGGTACCTGGCTATGGGCAGACATCCTGACCCCTCCTGCAAACAGAGAACCCCAGGCATCCTGAGGTGCTGCTACCGGAAGAGAAATGAGAACAGCACAGCTGATGTGGACATCACAAATTGTTTCACATTCTATACGCCTCTCAAATTTCAGAGCCTCTACTGAGGGCCACTGAGATCATACACTCTTCGGCTCATTTTATAAGTGATCGTTATACTCCATTGTCTTTGTTATATATCAGCTTTTTTTTTACAGGAAAAATTAAAATATATTTATTTTTGCAAGGAATGATATCAATGCTTGCCTAATCTCCACAAAGCCCATTTTGTATGGAAGATTTTATATGTCATTTCACAATGTCCACCAGATTAACTCAATCCTAAATAAGGTTTAAGTTTAAGTTTGCCAGGAGCAACTCAGCCAAAGCAATTTAATTGCATATATATCCACGACATACCACACAGAACTGACGGGGTGAAACAGAACGCTCACCAAAAGCTAATGGTCAGCCACTGGGAATCCACTGTGAAAAGATACAAAGAACATGACTGTTTAAATTTTTTTATTGTGAATATATAATACCAACCTGACACCATCAATAGATATGTTATTGATTTTGCAAAAAGTCTCCAGTCTCTCCAGATTCCCAGAAAATAATTTCTGACAAGGAAGAAAGAGCAAAGAAACTACAACTATTATTTGCAAAATCTAAAAAGCAAGGTAAAACCAGGATGGAGAGTTGAACACCAGAGACACAATATATCAGCTTCTTCATAGCATGAATATGGCTATAGTGGGTTAATAGCAAATTTGGCTATATTTTTCAATCTCAAAAGAAAAAACTTGAATTCAAAATTATTTCTAACTTACTAACCAGGATTCTATAGGTCTTCAGTTATTTGCATTGTCACCATATTAACCGATATAAGAAGCAGCTGCGTTGGTTTGCCATAGAGATGACCTTTTATGTCAATAGATATGTATTTGTGAAGTAAAACTGGACTGTTCTCTTTTTTAAGTACATTTTATGGCAACTCATTGATGTGTGTAAAATCACGATCTCAAAAATGACTTTTTTTTTTTTTTTGACAAACAGTATCTTATAAGAGTCGTGTGATTTAGGAGGGGTGATGAAAGAGCTGATGATGCTCCAGGAGGAAGATTATTGTACACACATGTATGCACACACACACACACACACACACACACACACACACACACGTGTGCGCGTGCACAGTGGGGCAGCAGAAACCCAACAGGTTCTTACTTGGCCTTCTTCAGCCATCATGCCTTTGCCATCTCACAGGTCCTTTTCATGCCACAGTGATGAGAAGTGACTAATGTACTTCTCATCGCTGTGACAAAAGGCCTCGGACAGACAGTCTAAATGGAGAAAGACTTTGGCTTTTGGTCTCAGCTGGCTACACTGCAATGAAACTGTGGTGAAACTGGATATGACGTCAGCAGGGGCATTCAACAGATGATACTGCTCACCTCGTGACAGGAAACAGAGGGAAGAAGCCCAAGATAACATGCACCCTTCAAAGGCCTGCCTGTGGCTACCTATGTTCTTGGGCAAACCACAGTTTCTATACCCCACCAATAGTCTGGTGGATTATAATTCCATCAATAGATTAATCCATTGCTTGGATCAAAGCCCTGATCACTTTCGAAAACCTGACCTGTAAACATTGCATTGGAGACTAAGCCTTGAACCCATGAACCATCAGGGGACATTTCATATCAAAATCATAACAAACACTACAGGGCATCCAATTGGACAATGAGGTTAAATGTATAAATAAGCCTAACAAGGAAGTACACAAATAAAAACAGCTCATTTGTACGAGCATTGTATTCATTCTGCTATGTAAGTAGGAACCTGGGACACTTCACATTATTTCCTTAGCTTACCCAAGATACTTCCCAGATGTCTCAACTTTAAGCCTGGCCCCATAACCTTGACCATTCCAGCAGCCCACTGACTAGTGCTTCCATACTTGAGCCCCACATGTCCTCCAGCTTGCCATCTTTTAAGATGCAACATCCATCACTCTTGTGCAACATGTATGTAGATTTTCAGTGAATTACCTATTAATTTTTTCTACCATGTGTTTTGATCATATTCATCTCCTCATTCATCCCTTT